GTACCTGCAAACTGAACTTCCACACCCACAGCTCCAAACTGGTGTCACCCAGCCAGGCTTTGTTATTTTCCCATTTTATGGCTTCTCCTCTGGCTGCCTGCAGCTGCACAGTGCATCCAGCAAGGACCCACTTGTGCCAGATATCCTCACTGCAAAGTGATTTAGGCTGCCAGAATCCTCATGTGTCCTCTGTGTGGAAAAACACAGAGCTAGAGCATGATTTACCTCATAGCTATCAAAAAACTCACATTTTACTGCTGTAAAGCAGCAACAAGTTGCTTGAACGTGTTGTCTATTCATTAAAAACCCTGATTGTTTCTAAATCACAGAGTGAGATTTGATGATTGCTCAGTGAAGCCTCATGTGAGCCTCAGCTGTGCTCTTTGATTGATGGCACATTTCATTCTCAGCCTTTAGAATTTTACTTCTTACTCCCCACCATATGTGAAGCATTCACAGCACAGCAAACCCTGTGGTTTGCATAAAAAAATCTCCTCCAGGTCCTCCTGAGCAGCATGTTTTGCTCCATGTGTCTGTAAATTAACCTCATTTGTGTGTAGAGAACAACACATGTGGGGTTTGCTTGCTTGGTTGGCACTTTGGAGGCAAGAAACTCCTCAGAATCCCCTCAAGGTCCATTTCTACTCTTGCAAGTTTATTCAGAAGATAAGCAATCATTATCTGGTTGAATCACAGATGTTAATTGGGAGATGCAAAGCCTGCCTGGGTGAGCACCAGTTCTGGAGCTGTTGTTGTGGAAATTCAATTTGCAGGTGATGCTGTGCTAGGGATGACATGCAAGACTTCAAATTCCATTGAATTTATTGAAAGTGCAGTTTGGAGCTGTGCAAAATCAGTGGGAATTGTGGCTCTGGAGCTGGGTTTGGGTTTGCCTCACCCAGGTGTGCTGAAGGACAGAGGAGACGTGAAAAAAATCCAAATTTACAGCTTGGTTTGGAAACCAGACTCTTTTGACAGTCATTTCATACAATGTCTTTCTTGGCTTTCTGTATTTTATTTCTTCTCTTAAAAGGAACTTAATTGGAAGATGCAAAGCCTGGCTGGGTGAGCACCAGTTCTGGAGCTGTTGTTGTGGAAATTCAGTTTGCAGGTGTTCCTGTGCTAGGGAGGAAAGGCAAGACTCCCAATTCCATTGCATTTATTGAAAGTGCAGCTTGGAGCTGTGGAAAATCAGTGGGAATTGTGGCTTTCCCCTTCCTCATTCTTCCTATTATTGACAAAAATAATAGTTGGACTTGCAAGGAAACAAGTGTGGGAATTCTTCCCTTCTCCTGAACATGCAGAATTTGCATGTGAAATTTCAGAAGCTTGAATGGAGGAGCAGGTATTGGAAGGAGGAGGTGAATTCAGCTCATGTGCCCAAATTTGTGCAGGCTGGGTGGGGCTGGCAGCTCCTCCATGATCTCCTCATTCCCTGACTTCTCTCTTTGCCTGGAGCTGGGTTTGGATTTGCCTTTATATCTGTACTATCCATTTTTTGATAGTACACAGAAGAGCAGGTGTGCTGCAGGACAGAGGAGACGTGAAAAAAATCCAAATTCACATCATTCAAATCCAAACCAGACTCTTTTGACAGTCATTTCACACAGTGTCATTCTTAGCTTTCTGTATTTTATTTCCTCTCTTAAAAGGTTCACTCTTTTGAAGTCATCCCCAGAGTTTGCAGAGTCATCACCTATTAAAGTTTACACATCATTTTTGACAACATCTATTGCTCTTAGTCAGGAGCCTGTGATGATTCAGCTGTCAGTGTTTCACACAATTTCCTTTGCACAATCCCATGGAGTTTGTTTTCTTGAAGTCAATTTGCAATTGTTAAATTCTGCATTGAATTTTCCTCTTTTGTTTTGGGTTTTCCTCTTCCCTCTGCGTGTACTTTTTAAAGATATCTCTATATCTATTTGTTAGATAGATTTAATTTATATTAAATATAAATTAAATTGATATTATTTAATTAATTAAATATATTCATACTTATATTTCAATACATTATGTATTTATATATTATATTTTATATAAAATATAATATAATATAATATAATATAATATAATGTAATATAATATAATATATTATAATATAATTATATTGTATATTATTTTTATATTATTATATATTATATATGATATATATTATATATCATATATATCATATATTATATATAATATATTATGTATAATATGTACTATATATTATATCATATATGCTATATACTATATAATATATAATATATAATGTATATTGTTTATATTTACTTAATTAAATATTCATATTAATATTCAATTAAATATAAATTAATTAATTGAATGCGTTCTCTTTTCATTAAAAACCCTGATTGTTTCTAAATCATAGAAAATGCTGTGCTGGAATTTTGGACGTGTCCAAGGCCAGGTTGGATTTGGGTTGGAGCAGTTTGGGATAGTGGAAGTTGTCCCTGCCCATGGAATAAAATCAGCTTTAAATCCCTTTCAACCCAAGGCATTCTATGGTTTAATGGTTCTGAGATTGCATGAAGTGTAAACTGCCTTATAAAACTCTGTTCTCCTGGAGAGAAAATACTTTCAAACATTTACAAATCATCCTACTCAACCCAGGATGTTTGAGTGTTGGTTAAGTACCTGTGAACCTCATTTTCAGTGTTCTTGTGAATATTTTTTGCTCAAAGCCTCCTTTCTGTTCAGAGAGAGCTGAGCTTTGGGTAGGAGGGAGTTTCCTTGTCAGTCCTGCTTTGTTTTCAGGCTCTGGGCTAGGGGGACTGTCTGAGCTTGGGATTTCTGCTTTTCTCTGCCTTGAATCATACCCTAAACTCTATTTAATGATTTGGTTTTTTGTATTTATTTTCCACATCCTTGACCCTGACTGGCGAGCTGGACATTTGTGTTTGCCTTGGCAGGCTCCGAGCTGCTCTTCTAGGGCAGGATGAAAACTCTTTTTTTTTGCTTTTGTAAACAAACTGTTCCTCAGCATTTTCCATAAGGATTTACACCACCATTTTGTGCCTCTTCTAGGAACAGACAAAACCTTGCCATTAGAGTTTTCCTTTGATTTTATTTCTTTCCCCAGTTGGATTGGAAGTGATTTTTCAGAATGTTTCTAAATTCCAGAAGTATTCCATTTTTTTTTTCCCTCTGAGGGTTTATTAAAGCTATAGGTCAATTGTTGCCTGTGTAGAAAAGGGGTTATTTGTATTTTTTATTTGTCTGCCCACTGCAGTGAGAACAGTGCCCCATTGTCCAGGCACTGGGTGCATGTCAAACCCTGCTTTGTGCCCTGAAAATTTACAGCCCAAGGAGCTGCTGCCAGGGGGGCTGGATGGATTTTAGTGGCCAGGATGTAAAATGAGAGATTAACTCAGCTGGCCACTGCATGCCAGCACACGAGTTGTGTTTGATTTCCCCTGGGGCACAGAAATGCTGCTGCTCCTTGCTCGGGGATTTCTGGGGGATTCTGTGCTCTGGAAAAATGGCATTTTTGTGCTGCTGCTCCAAACCACTTGTCATGTGTCATCTGCAGCACTCCACAAGTGTTGCAGATCATTTGGGCAAGTTTGAAATGCTCCCAGCCACAGATGCAGCTTTATAAACTCGCTGTTGGTGGGATTAAATCCAGCACAAGGCTCAGTACCAAGTTAATCCTGAGCTTAAACCCTGCCAGGTGCAAAGAGGAGCTTTGCCATGAGCTAAACCTCTGAGAAATATCAAAACAAATATCAGAATAAATATCAGAATAAATATCAGAAAAGGTGTTTTTGCAGCATCCCTGTTGCTCAGGAAGGAAAAGCTTGGAGGATTCAATGAGAAGATTTTCTCCCCACAGAGAGCTCTGCAAATCCCTGCTGGGAATTTCCACCACTGCATCTCAGTGTGTTCACAGGACACCTGGATATTCTGGGAAAATGTTCATTTTTCCCCCACTTCTAGAACCATTTACTGGCCAAGGGAAAGTCAGAAAATAAAAGTACAATAATGTTATACAGCAGGGAAAAAAAAGGTGTCGTTTAATTCCTTTTTAAGCAGCAAAAAGGTACAAATTTCCACATAAGTTTTTGTCCTTCAGGTGCTGTTTATGCGATATAATATCTAGGTGGAAAAAGACCAATTAATTCTTCATTAATGTCTGGAATTTCTCTGCAGTGTTTAATAAAATAAGCTGTTTATTAGAAGTGATTATTCACATGAAGTGTGTGCCAATGCCAAACTGTAAATGATAATAAATAGCAAATAGCCACATTGATTTATTTATTATCTGTAAATAATGATAAATACCAAATAACCAAAGTGACAAATGCTGAAAAGTAGATGTTAAAAATAGCCCCCAAGATTACAAAAAACTCTTACTTTAAATGATAATAAATAGCAAATAGCCACATTGATTTATTATCTGTAAATGGTAATAAATATCAAATAGCCACATTTATTTATTATCTTAAATACTAAATAGCCAAAGTGACAAATGCTGAAAAGTAGATATTAAAAATACCCCCAAGATTATAAAAAATCCTTACTTTGAATGATAATAGATAGCAACAGCCACATTGATTTATTATCTGTAAATGATAATAAATACCAAATAACCAAAGTGACAAATACTGAAAAGTAAATGTTAAAAATACCCCCAAGATGACAAAAAAACCCTTGCTTTAAATGATAATAAATAGCAAAGATCCACATTGATTTATAATCTTTAAATGGTAATAAATAGCAAATAACCAAATTGATTACTTTTCTGTAAATGATAATAAATGCCAAATAGCCAAAGTGACAAATGCTGAAAAGTAGGTGTTAAAAATACCCCCAAGATGACAAATACTTGTATGGTTGTTAAGAGAAAAATACTGAATTTTCTGTAATGCTCCATTGGTGCTACTCAGCAGTTCATAAAATGCTATTTATTATTGCTTTTAAACAGAAACGTGAATTTTCCAGAGCGTTTTAAGAGCACATTTCAAGTGCACAAGCTAAAATTCCTTTTCTTGTTGCAGATCTGGGACATGAGCGATGATGAAACAGTTTGACATCAGGTGCTGAGGAGGAGGAGGATGCTCTGGGGTGCAGCCCTGCCTTTTATCTGTGCTTGGAGGAGTTAATGATTGCTTACCCCTCCTGGCTGCTGGAAAGACAAACAAACAGAGCCCACGTCCCGCCACGAATAACTCCTCTGCAACAGCAGCTCTTCTCTTATGGACAGAGCTCACCATGTTTTCATTTTATTGTGTAAATAACTGCAGCAACAGCCTTGTGTTTAAACCTGGTCTCTCTTTTTTTTTTTTTTTTTTTTTTTTAAAGCTTCTAAATACGGCTTACATCTAAAAAAATGCTGCTTAAGTAACTTTGGGTGGTTTGTTTGAGCCAGGTTTTATTTTGCTTCTCAGTGGCCATGTCCAAGCAGCATTTCTGAATGGCTTGTTTCATCTCTCTCAGATTTGGGCCACTTCAGTGGGAATTTGTGAAGATTTCTGCTCTTGGGAGTTAAATTCAATGTTTAACTGTGGGGAGGAGTGGGGAAGGAGCTGAACCTGCTGTCTCCACCACAGGAATTATTTGCAAACACGAATTTCAGGTGCAGTTGTTCTGGATGTGTCCATGGAGTTTTTACTATTCCCTGTGAAGATCCCATCTTGTCATGCTATGGAAACAAAGTGGTTTGGCTGATTTTTGCCCAGGAAACACCAAAATACATTTATATAATGCTTAGGCTCCCCTGAAGCTCAGAGAAATCTCTGTTCTAAGGTAAAAAAATCACTTTAGGAGGTGGTGGGTCACTGATTCAGTCAAATGCTTCAGTGAAATGAGAAATTTGTTCCCTGACTTTGCTGCTCTTGGGTGTGCTCATGCAGAACCCTGCAGGTGTTCAAAAAGAGAAATTCTCTTCTCCTTTTTTGTTGGTTGAATTTTTTTAAGTGGCTTCATAAGCAAAAACAGGAGTTTGAGAATCCTGGAGTTTAAAAAACAGCTTGAAAAAAATGGAGTTTTGAAATCTCAAAGCACATTTTACTGTAAAGTTGAAAGTGAATCTATTTGGCTTAACTTGGAATAGGTTTTAGAAGGAAATTTGAAATCCCTTTCGTAGCTTTATATTGTGGGGTCTATGAGTTAACTCACTTAGAAAAAAATACAAATCACTTTATCTGCCAAGCAGCCTCTATTTCCCAGATATATTATAAAAATTAGTTGGTCAATCCAATTATTTTAGTTCCTTCCTTAAGATAAGCTGTGAAGATTTTTATTTTGTAGAGAATTTCCCAGAATTTCCCAGTCAGAATAAGATCAGTCAGGTCAAGAATATGCAACTCCCATCCTCTGATCAGAAATTATTTACTGAAACCTGCTGAGGTTTGCACCAAGTGTCTAAAATAGCCATTATTGTCTAAAATAGCCATTATTATCTAAAATAGCTATTATTTCTATTTATTTATTATCATAATCATTTTATTTACATGATTTCTTACCTAGGGGAATGTCTGGTGAAATATAAAAGTGAAAATATAAAAAATATATATGAATGCAAGATATTTGGTAAATCTGAGCTGGTAATCAGAGCAAATCTCTTGGTGGTCAGGCACTGAAGACTTACACTGAAACCCTGAAATGTGCAATTTTAAAGCTTTTTTTTTTTTTAAACATGGCTTTGCAGCCATGGTTTTAGCCATGCCATAGTCCAGCTGGAGCCACGAGCTGGTGCCAGGAGAGTTTAAAGGGAATAATCTGCTTTTTTTATCTTTGGGAGCTGCTAAGCGTGGAGTGTGAATGGCTCTGCACTTGGGGGTTATCTGAGACTTGAAAGCTGCACATCTTTCTGGGCCTGGTAAACATTAATGATGGTTTGGAGAGCCTGAAACTCAGCCTGGGAGGTGTCTGTGCAGGGAGGGTTCAGGGTCAGTGCCAGGTGCCCTTCCCTCCCTCTGCCACTGCCTGCCCTCTGTCCTGCCCTGATGTCAGAAACTCCTCACTCTGCCTTGGAATATCTGTCCTTGTCTCACTCAAATGTTGGTTTTGTTCTCCTCATGGCCCAGAATTGTTCTTGTTCCAGCAGAGCTGCTGGGATTGTTTCCTCACTGGAAAAGAAGGGGGAAGCTTCCATGTCTGTGGTCTTGTAACATTTGAACTCTGGGGTTTAATGGGTTTTGGTGTCCTTTCTTTTCTCTTTCCTTTTCTCCTTTTCTTTTTTCTTTTCCTTTTCCTTTTCCTTTTCCCCTTTTCCCTTTCCCCCTTCCCCTTTCTCTTTCCTTTCCTTTCCTTTCCTTTCCTTTCCTTTCCTTTCCTTTCCTTTCCTTTCCGTTCCTTCCCTTCCCTTCCCTTCCCTTCCCTTCCCTTCCCTTCCCTTCCCTTCCTTGAAATGTCCTGAAATTTCCTTTCCTTTTCTCTCCATTCCCAGTCCATCTCCATTTCCAGAGGCAGACTTCCCCCACATTAGCAGGGATGGATTCTCCAAAGCAGACTGTTGTAAATCGCTGCTTTTTTCTGAATTTCTGGGCATTTACTGAGTGAGAATCCATTCCAATGCATGAATGAATGTACACTCAAATACTAACAACAGATAAACACATTTATTTGCTGCCTTTTAATCACTGGCTGCAGGATTTCTGCACAGAGCCCACGCCAGTGCTTGCTGTTTACTGGGACAAGATAAACTATCCCTTTCCTGGGATTTTAATGCTATTTGTGCTCCACCATGGCACAGGGAAGAGAAAAATACTGAATTCTCTCCATTGGTGCCAGTCAACAGTTCACAAAATGTTGTTTATGATTCCTTTTAAACAGTAAATATAAACAATAAACAGTGAAGAACCTGAACTTCCAATGGAGAGCCCAGCCAGGGCTTCCCAGGTGTGGACCAAACCTGTTGGGAAGAGGGAATGAGAGGCCTCAGAGGATCCTGCTCACATTCTTCATTATCTAATAGGAATTTCCTGGCATTTTATGGCACCTGCAGCTGTGACACCCCCATGCCTCATCTGGGGACATTAATTGTGTTAAATTAGGTCTCAGTGGAGAGCTCTGACAGCACTTTTGTACTTGAGCATTAAAGGAACTGATGGAATGAATGGCAGCTCCTGTTGTCATTTCCCACTTGTGCCAGCTGGGGTTTTGCTTCTCCATCACCCCTGCAGTGTGTTCTGCTGCCTGGGGTGTAGGATTTGGGAACCACATCCATCAGAGGGAGGAGTGTGAGATTCTGGGGAATGGATTCCCTCAGGGACACCTGGGACTGTCCTGGTGCCACCACAGCCGTGGCCACTCTGAGGCTGGAGCTTCAGCTCTGGGATATTTGCCCAAATATTTGCAAATCCCACTGAGATCCAGGGAGGAAGGTCCATGGGGCCCAGACAGGTTGGTTGAGAAGGACCCACAGGAGCTCCATTCCCAAGAACCAAGGACATTCTGCCTCTGCACTGGAGATGTTTTGGCACAAACTGCAGTGACTGTTCCAGGCCTTAAAACCATGGAGTTTGAGCTTGGAAAAATGTTTGCCCTTCCCTGTGTCCTCAGAGAAGCCCAGGTAAACTAAAATTCTCATTTTGTCATCTTGGATACTCTCATCCCACTTTCTGCATGTCCCTGCCCATGGCACTGGATCATCTTAAGGTCCTTTCCAACCTTTTAAGATTATATGGCTCTAATCTTGTTTCTTTGTATGAAGTCTGGCTGCTCACCTTAAATGGATGCAACAGAAGTATTTGCAAAATGGAGTGACTCTGCCATCTATAATCCCTTTATTTTAGTTTTTCACTTGTGCTCTTATTTAGAAAACTCACTGAGATGGGGTTTATTTCTGAGCTTTGCTCGGTGGAACCATTTGCTGACTCTTGTTTCTGGCTCTTAGTGAGCCAGTTCCTCCTGAATCTCTGTTAGCTTGGGGTTGGTGATGGAGTGTCTTGGTTTGGAAAGCCAGGAGTCTGCCAAGGAAGGCAGGAGCCTCCCCTGAAATGGAGAATGTAAACCTTCCCCACCCCTCTGAATTGCTATAAATTTTAAATTAAGGGGCTCTGAGGCAAAAATATGGGAGCAGGAAACAGCAGTTCTTTAACAGGGAAAGGAAAAAACTAAAGGGATAAATTAAACAATGCAGTGCACTAGAACAACACTGACAGAGTCAGAGCCCAACCTGACACCCTGTGGGTCAGGGTGTTGGCAGCAGTCCCATTGGAAATGTGGCTGCAGCCGTCCTGCAGTGTCAGGGGTGGTTCTGTTGGAGCAGGGGGATCTGTAGAGAAGGATGGATTCTTCCTCTGAAGATCCAGTGGAAGGGGAGGCAGCTGCTGTTCCTCTGGGGAATCCCATGGAGAAGCCGTGCTGGTGTCTCAAACCCTCTGGATTATATCTGGGCAGCAATGCTTGGCTCCTCCCTCTGGATTATATCTGGGCAGCAATGCTTGGCTCCTCCCTCTGGATTATATCTGGGTAGCAATGCTTGGCTCCTCCCTCTGGATTATATCTGGGTAGCAATGCTTGGCTCCTCCCTCTGGATTATATCTGGGTAGCAATGCTTGGCTCCTCCCTCTGGATTATATCTGGGTAGCAATGCTTGGCTCCTCCCTCTGGATTATATCTGGGCAGCAATGCTTGGCTCCTCCCTCTGGATTATATCTGGGCAGCAATGCTTGGCTCCTCCCTCTGGATTATATCTGGGTAGTAATGCTTGGCTCCTCCCTCTGGATTATATCTGGGTAGGAATGCTTGGCTCCTCCCTCTGGATTGTATCTAGGTAGTAATGCTTGGCTCCTCCCTCTGGGCTCACATCTCCCAATGGGATGCTGTAGTTCTTATCAGCCATGCAGTGACATTCAATAGCTGTTATCAGCAATGTCCCCTCCCCAGGGAGGAGTGAATGTGGTCACTCAGAGAGAGATAAGGCAAACTGCCCACTTGGCAAAGGTAATCTGCCATACAGATGGGAATGGAAAACAACTTGCATTGGTATCTTCGACATGGAGCCAGAGAAGCATTTGGTTGGAAAAGACCCTTTGATCACCAAGGCCAGGGGTTCTGCAGCCCTTCCAGCTCTCCATGCCCTGGGGCTGTGCTGGGCCACAAAGAGCTCACCCAGCTTCCAGTTTCCCTTTGAGTTTATTCCCCTTTTTCCAGCCCCACCATAAAACCAGTGAGATCCTGAGATGGTTTTTGGGAGATGATTTTGCTTTGCAGGATTCTCACCAGGGCCAGGGATGGCTGAGGTCACTGCTCAAGGACACTCTGCCTCTCACACAACCCATGAGTTTATTTTTATGTAGCTCCTCTTCAAAGAAGAATCAAATTTAAAGAGCTCCAGGCAAGGCCCAGCTCTCAATTCTGGTGGGAATAGGAAGGATTGTCACATTCCTGCAGAAGAAAATCCATGTCAAGCTGGCACAGCCCCAGCCTGTCTGCTCCCTCCACGTGCTCCAGGTCACTCAGGATTGCTGCTCTGGGACTTTGCATTCAGGGTGCACACAGGGAGAGAGAGCAGGAGCAGCTCAGTGGTGGAACTTCACTGCCAGATTTTGGATTTCTTCTTGAAATAATAATGCAAGGCTTTCCTTAGAAACAAGTGAGCACTTATACTCCAAAGAGAGCCATTAAAGGAGAATTTGCAACATGGGAAATTTTAGCTGGCTTCATAAGAAGCAGAGTCTGGAAGATGTCTCCAGCCTGTTGCCATTTGGCTTCATTAATTCCTTTTTTTTTGCTTTTTCTTTTATTTCACTTTCAGTGCAGCTGATGTGCTCATGCACATCGTGCCAGGATGAAACTTTCCTTTTCCAGAGGCTGTTGTGCACCTTTGCCCTTGCAGAGCACCTGGATTAACTGTTAGGAAAGGCACAAACCCTACACTGGGAGGACTTTGGACTGTGCCAGGGTGTAAATCCCCAACCCATGGAAACCCTGCCCCATTTCCAGCTCTCCTGGCCTTCTGCAGAGCCCAGAAACACCACTCAGGCCATGCTTCAGGTTTGAAATTCATTCAGGCCATGCTTCAGGTTTGAAATTCATCTGAGCTGCCCTCTCTGCTGCCTCTTCAGCTTCCCAGTACAATCATTTGTGGAAAGTTCATTTTCTTACCTGTGCAGCACTTGGCAGGTTTGGAAGTAAAAATACACTAACAGTTTATTGACTTTTTTTCCCCCCTCATTTTACTTTTATTGCTAATTTGTCAATAATCTCTCTGAGCTTTGTTCTCAGTTTCCCTGGCTCAGAACTGTTGTTTTGTGACCATGCTGAAGGCTCAATAACCAGCCTGGGGCTCCTGCTGCCCTTTTCCT